CTCTAGGCGCGTGGTCTTCAATAGTTGTGGCACGCAGGCTCAGTAGTTGTGGCTCGTGGGCTCTAGAGCTGGCAGGCTCAATAGTTGTGGCGTACAGGCTTAGTTGCTCCACGGCATGTGGGATCTTCCCGGACCAGGGCTTGAACCCAAGTCCCCTGCATTGGCAGGCAGAGTCCCAACCACTGTGCCACAAGGGAAGTCCCAGTACCTTTTTTTTAGATTCCTATATATGCATAAGCATACGGTATTTGTTTTTCTCTATCTGACTGATTTCACTCTGTATGACAGACTCTAGGTGCACCCACCTCACTACAAATAACTCAATTTCATTCCTTTTTATGGCTGAGTAATATTCCATGTATATATGTAGCACATCTTCTTTATCCATTCATCTGTTGATGGACATTTAGGTTGCTTCCATGTCCTGGCTATTGTAAATAGTGCTGCAATGAACATTGTGGTACATGACTCTTTTTAAATTATGGTTTTCTCAGGGTATATGCCCACTATTGGGATTGCTGGGTCATATGGTAGTTCCAATTTTAGTTTTTTAAGGAACCTCCATACTGTTCTCCATAGTGGCTGTATCAATTTACATTCCCACCAATAGTGCAGGAGGGTTCCCTTTTCTCCACACCCTCTCCAGCATTTATTGTTTGTAGATTTTTTGATGATGGCCATTCTGACCAGTGTGGGGTGATATCTCATTGTGATTTTGATTTGCATTTCTCTAATGATTAGTGATGCTGAGCATCTTTTCATGTGTTTGTTGGCAATCTGTATGTCTTCTTTGGACAAATGTCTATTTAAGTCTTCTGCCCATTTTTGGACTGGGTTGTAAGACACTCAGAACTTAGTTCTCCTACCAAGAAAATTAGGAGTACTCTCACCAAATTCACTTTATTAATGATTTAACAAGAAAAAAAGAAATAAAATAATACCCAAACTCATGATCTTATAATATTCTTTGTCTTTACATAATTGCCACAGGGCTTAGCATGTAGTAGGTATGCAATAAAAACTTACGGAATAGAATTAGAAAGGTAAAATGGGAGAATATGTAAAATGCTCTCCAGGTTTCTTTAGGGCTAATACAATTTTATTTGCTTAGCTCAAAATACTCTTTCTGGGGAGCATGACTCTTGATAGCCAGAAAGTGAGTTATTTTTGTTTTCCTAATGCTTTTATGACACTCTTTTTTAAGAGTTTATTTAATTCTTTAAGTTAGAGAATGAAATGGTTCATTCTGCTTAGATTGGACTTTTGATGATGCTACAGATAATATATATATAATTATTCCTTTCACAAAATTTCACCAAGAATCTTAGCACATGCCTTCTCTTATAAAGCTTTGCAGAAAGTTACATGATACTTCTTTTGTGTCCTTTGAGTCTAGCTTTTTTGATAAATTGTTTGCAAAAATGGCCCGGAATTCTTCCTCTTTCTATAAGCATGCGCTTTTGTGATGTGACTTTGCAGCAACTGCCATCAAGAGGTGGTATCACTTTCTCTACCACTTGAATCTGGGCTTGCTTTGCCAGTGGGACATTAGCACATGTGATGCAAGTAGAACATTCAAAAATATAGCACACAGGACCCTCCCTAGCTCCTCTTGGTAACCCTGTTACTACTACTATGTGGATAAGCTCAGGCTTACTTGATGGATGATGAGTAACTTATGACCAGTTCCTTTTTTTCCTGCTGGCAATAGACAGGCAACCACAAGACATGCCAATGAGGCTATTATCAGCTAACTGACACATGATTGAGTCTGACCAACAACATGTGGACCAGAGATGAATGGTGTCAGCTGAGCCTAACCCAAATTGCGAATCCACAGAACTGTGAGCAAATAAATGTTTTAAGTGCTAAGTTTGGGACAGAAAAATCTAACTGATATAGCTCATATCCCTATTTGTTTATATTCTGTGAACCCCAAGGTGTATTTTCTTTTTGCTTCTCTTTTCTCCAAAACACACACTGTGGTAGAGACATAAGGCTTCTGATCATGAGTGCCAACGTATGGCAGGGGGGTAGTTTCCCCCCACACCACCGAACAATTCTCTGACACCAGCTGGGTGTCCTACAATTCAACTGAATTCTGACACCACTACTTGGAGACAGCATCAAATTCCACAGATTAAGGGCTCAGTCCCACAAGACTGTCCTCCACCTCAGATGCCACTTGCAAATCCAGGTTGTTACTTGTACTTCTGACCAACTGGCTATAAACCAGAAGTTCTCATGACTTCATCCACGGGTTCAATAAATTTGTTCGAGTGGTTTGCAGAACTCAGGAAACCCATTCACTCACTAGATTACCAGATTATTACAAAGGATATTAGAGGATACAAATCAATAGCCAAATGAAGAGATACTTAGGGCGAGGTACCAAACAAAGGAGTTGCTGTCCCGCGGAGTTTGGGCTCGGCATAGTGGCATGTGGAATGTTCTGATTCACCAACCTGGAAGCTTTCTGAACTGCTTGCTTTTGAGTTTTCATGGAGGCTTCATTACATAGACGTGATTGATTAAATCATTGCCCATTGGTAGTTGATTCAACCTCCAGCTCCTTTCCTGTCCCCAGAAATCAGAGGGGGTGGGACAGAAAGTTCCACCCCTTTATCTAAGGTTGGTTCCCCTGGCAACCAGCCCCCATCTTTAGGTGCTTTGTAAAAGTCACCTTATTAACATAAACCCAATTGTGGTGAAAAGGGGCTTGTTATGAACAACAAGACACCCATTTCACCTTTATGGCTCTGAAGTGATTTTAAGAAGAGGACAAGAGACCAAAGATACTCCCATTGCTCTTATAGCTCAGGAAATTCCAAGGCTTTTGGGAGCTGTGAGCCAGGAACCATGGACAAAGATCAAATACATCAGAGAAATGTATTTTGGTCATCTGAGTAATATAGATATATATTTCTTATATCACAGTGTTGTAGACAGCTGGTCCCCCAACATCCACTTTTTTCTTTTTCTTTATTAATAGACCTCCCCACTTCCTCTACCTCCTCATATTTGAGTTTTATCTGGGCACACAGCTGTCTGGCTTAGACTAAATTTCCCAGCTTCTCTTGTGGCTAAGGTGTGGTCACGTGACGAAGTTTTGTCCAGTGGGCTGTGAGTGGGAGAAATGTGTGGTTAGAAAGCTGCTTGTTCTTCACTCTCTCTTCCTTCCTCTCATTTTCCCCTCCTCATTTTCTCAGGCTGGCATATTGAGTCACCTTAGACCCAGAGATGGAAGCCACATGTTAAGGGTAGCAGAGATAACCCACCAGCTCAGGTCCCAGAATGACTTTGCAAATCAGATCTAGTTACCCATCCTGAACCACTTGCCTACCGCTGGTGTGTTACGTGAGAGAAAAATAAACTTCCATGTTAAGTATGCCACTATATTTTCAGGTCTCTTTATTATAGCAGCTTGACTTTTACCCTAACTCATGCTTAACATTTGCAGACCCAAACACATAAACACACACTGCCTAATACAGTACTTAGAACTCAGGAGCTCAGTAAATGCTAGATTCATGCACTTATTCAATAACAGTGACTGAGCTCCTATTGTGTATTAGGCAGAAAGTTGCACAGATAATTGCTTTTTTTTTTTTTTTTTGGTCGGGAGCTAACAAATGAGAAGGGAAAGATAGAAAAAAATTAACATAAAAGGGGAATTAAAGGTGACGAGAACTGTAACAGAGGACTCTGTCAGGGGTGGTATCCAGAGAAAATGAAAGGATTTGGACATCTCTTAAAAGTTTGCCGCAGTAGGATGAAACACAAATCATGAAACGAAGCATCCATTCAACGCAACTGTACAATTTCTTTCACAGAGTTTGGAGCCTCCTCTCACTTGTTTCTGGGTCACTGACCTTGAGCTGGGGCGGGGGTAGGGGATGGCTACTGGCTTACTGTTTTCTCACTTCGGACTTCCAACACTAGCTTTTCAAAGGGTTTTGTGTGTCGGGTGTAGGGGTGGCAGTAGGGACGAAAGTTAGGTTTAGAGGATTACTGACAATCCTGTAATAACTTTTGAAATAGATTTTCAGATCAATTCCCATTCATTTCCAACTTTACAGAGAAAAGAGGACCAGGGAAGGATCAACAGTTATGAGAAAAACTAAGGAAAAAACTTCACTCACCACAACTGGAAATGGAAGATATCTCTTTATTCTCATATCCCATTTTCTTTTCCCCACCATCTCCTGTGGTTTATTTGTGTTTTCCTCCTATCATCCACAATGATGTTTATTTTATATTGAGAATATCCTGGGAAGAAGATACTAAGCGAGAAATCATTGCAAAAGTTCCAGAAGAGAACACATACAATATCTTGGGTGTTAACTAAGAGATGCTAACCATGAAGAAGAAATTGTGTCAAATTAGGTAGTCCTGTCTGTTTTGTCTAATTGCACAAAATCTCCTGTCATGCTCATTTGCAGTAGTGTTGTTTTTTATTTTGAGTTATAATGGCCTTGCTGTTTATGAATAACTTGCCCAAATGTGGCCTACATTTTAAAAATACCTTTCATTTTCAGGTTGTAGGGTATATGCCTTAATACAAATCATTCATCCTCTGTAAGCCTCAGTTTCCTCATCTGTAAAATAACTAGATGATCTCTGAAATCTCCTTTGGGCCCCAAATTCCACACTTTGAATTCCCTTATAAACGTTGGTTAAAGTCTGGTGACAACTGTAGCTACAATGACAATAGAATAATGAAGCATATTAACATTGGTGTTAATGCAGTAATCAGCTGTGTTTTGTTCCATATGGCAATTTATTTCAACAATTAAGCCAAACTCCATCTGTTTTGGCATACACAATTTTTCAGACGGGTTCCTGAACCACATCTCTGGAAATCATTTCATGTTTTTCAAATATTGCTACCATCAATAAATGACAACTGTGCAGGATCTTTCTGATTAAAAAAAAAAATCACTGATGGCAAAGCCCATCTTATTTGACAAAGCGATTGTTTTGCTTATTTGACCTTACAGATATGTTGCACGGTCTAATCAATAGACCCAGAAAAGGAAGATAGATCTCCGTGTCAGCATGGAGGGAACATGCATGGGTTGCTGGATTCTAGATCAGGTAAAGCAAACCTCAACACTGTCTGCAGTGGATTTCAATTTTTCTGACCTGAGGATCCTGTTGGGATAGGATGTGCCTCAATCTGTGACAGAGACAAGACAAATGGTACATTACACACATCTGGCAAGGGTGCCTTTCTTTGGCTTGGGTTGAGCTGCATTGACAGAATAGCAATAGGGAACCATTTGTCTTTATAACACTTGACAAGAGGCATGATTACTGCTGTAAGGGTATCAAAATAAAGAAAAAAATGAGCTGTCCAAGAGCCCTGTTATTTATCACATTCAGAAACGCTAACCCAGACTAGCAGGATAGAAATTCCTTGTCAAATTGCCTCTAAAAATCATATTTTCCTCCCAAGATAGTATGTGAAACCCATGGATCTCACCTGTGTTCCCCATCCCCTGTTTTTTCAAGTTGGGGACAGTCCCCTCCTGACCCAAGCTGTCCCTCCATAGCCTGGGAGTTGCCTCCATGTGGCTCATTGCATGTCCCAGCCTGACAATATGCACACCATTCCCTGCATGTACAGGAAAAACAGGAAAAAAAAAAAACCCTGCTAGCTGGCAGCTTATTAACAAATATTGAATGTATACAGCAAAAATTCGATTTATTTTGCAGCAAGTGTTAGGATGTCTCCAGGCAAATTAGAGCCAGAGCTGACTTTGTTCAACCCCTTTATTTATTTTCCCGTTCCTTGTTTCCTAATTAGGCAGGCTTTCTTCTGCTTCACAAACACACTCTCTGCCTAAATCATTGCAGGTCTATTGAATCCTGAGCACAATGGGCTTATACATTCATATTAATACCTTGATAAGGAGGTATAATCCACCCTTTTGCATAAAGCCGCCAAATAACTTCAAGAATGATTCTAAATGCCTTTATGACACAGTATGTATTTTCCTAGTCTGAATTGTGGGGTCCTGCATGTACTATTGCCAATGAATTTTCCAAAGAAGTTGTGAACAGTAGATGGGTCTAAGAAGTGTTTGCTTTGAAAGGCCACCTCCTTCAGTGTATGGCACCAAAGTCTTTTTCTTTTTCCTTCGAAGTGTTCTCTTTCAGCGGGCACTTGCTCACAATTCCTCATGAAGAGCAATTCAAGAATTAAATCAATGGCCATGTCCTAAAGTTTGTTTGGAATTCAACATTTTACTTGGACTTAGCATTCTTTTGCAGGGTTTAGAGCAGTTCTCAACCTTGGCTGTCCATTAGAATTATATGAGGAGCTTTAAAAAAATGTTGATGCCCAAACCCCTTCCCAAACCAATTGAATTAGAGTATCAGAGGGTGGGACCAGGGCACTGGCATTTCTAAAAGGCTCTCCAGGTGATTCTAATGGGCAGCAAAGTTTAAAAGCCATTGGTTTGTAGGGTTTTTATCATTAGAATATATCTAGAGAAATTTTGTTCAGTCATTCAGTAAGTATTTGAATGACTACTATCCATTAGGAAAAAGACTATGCACCTTTATGTCTTGGGGGTTCAAAGACATAAAGGAATTTCTATGTTCTCAAATTAGCTGGTAAGTTAATAGAGGCCATGAGGTTTTCATTCTTTCCACACATATTGATCCTATTATGTGTTACAAGCACTGGGGAGTCAGCCGAATCCAAGACAGACAAGGTCTCTGCTCTCATTGAGCTTGCATTCCAGTAAACACATTTTAAAAATAGGTACTGATGAGGGAATCCCCTGGTGGTCCAGTGGTTAGAATTTGGTGCTTTCACTGCCAGGGCTGGGGTTCAATCCCTGGTCAGAGAACTAATATCCCATAAGCTTCACTGCATGGCCAAAAAAAAAAAAGTACTGGTGAGCTCTATAAAGAAGTGAATACAGAGGTAATATGATAGAAAGTGGCTGGGACAGGGGAAGAGTTCTGGGATACTTCTCTGAGCAGCAGGCCTGAATGATGTGAAAAAAACAGTCAAATGAAGATCTTGAGGGATTGAGTCCCGGGCAGAAGGAACACCAGTGCCAATGTCTTGATGTAGGAGCCAGCAACTGCATGGAGCAGAAAGAAGCCAAAGTCCTCAGAGGAGGTGAGAGTCAGAGATGAGGTTAGAGGTAGATAGGGGGCGTGAACATGCTGCACAAAGGTAACCTTACAGAGAGAAGAAAGCAGGCAAGAGTTGGAGGTGCAGATTAATGGTTCTGAGCATTAAGAGAGAAAGGACTATTGCTTTCGTAGGGCCATTGGGTGTTCATAGAAAAGGTGGTTTTGAATTGTACCTTGAAGGAGATTGCCTGAGAAGCTGGAGGGGAAAAGCATTTAAAATAGAGGTATTTCTCTGTAAAGACATAGAAGGTATGACAGTCTAGAGTATGAACAGAGAATAGCAGATTGTCCAGCTTGACTGGAATGGATACATGAAGCAGTCATGGGAGCTTAGAAGTTGGGATAATAAAGGACTTTGTATGTTGAGAGCTTGGACTTTATGCTAAAGACAGATGGAAACCCAAATATATTTTATGTTTATTTCTTCATCCTTATATCTGGCCAATTCCTGCCTCGCTCCTTGTATCCCAGCAACTCCAAACTTCTCCTAAGCACCCCACATCCCATTCATACATACTTACAGCACCATGCCAGTTGGGTCTTTGTGATTGTCATGCCCTCTGTTCAGAATATTTTTCCCATACCCTTGGGCTCCTCCTTGTCAGCTAGTCAATCTGCTGCTCAGTCATTGAGTTAGCCACAGTTCCTTCAGGAAGGTGTCTCCGACCTTCCTTGTTGACTCCATAAAATGAGAGGCATATTTCCTTAAGGGCACTTGCCATGCTGGGTCACTCATTCTTGAGTGCTAGAAAGCAGCTCTTTACAGAGTGTTAGGTACTGTTCTGGGTGCTTGCGTTACACTCTAATTGATAGATGGGCAAGAAACACTGAACATAACAAATAAGCAAATTATATAGTTTGTTATAAGATAGTAAGTATGGTAGGAAAAAGTAGTTCAGGATATGGGTGTGGTGCAGGAGGGTAGAGTAAAAGGTCAGTAGGTCTAATTGAGAAAGCAAAATCTGAGCAGACATTTAGATTGAACAACTATTCCAGTTTGCATGAGACGGAGTCGTTTCCTGGGATGCAGGATTTCTAGTACTGAAACTAGGATAGTCCTGGGCAAACCAGGATGGTTGGTCACTCTGGAACAGTTTGTTAATATTTGTCCCATCTGCTAGTTTTACACAGCTTGAGGATAGGTTCTAGAGAGGCAGTGTAACGTAGCTTAGATTACAGGCTTTGGAGTCAGACTGGCTGGATTCAAACTATGGCTCAAACATTGTGACCTTGGACTAATAAGATTTTTAACCTCCCTGAGATTTTGCTTCTTCATATATGAAATGGAAGTAGCTGGTACAGAATAAACAGTCAATAAGTGTTGCTGTTATTATTATTCATAGTGCCTAGCATGGTCCTTGGGGGCAGTTACTCCTCAATAGATGTTTATTGAAGGAACAGATGAATAAATGACAATCTACCATGTACCAGGCACTGGGCTAATCTCTGGACGTACAAAAATGAATAAGGCATGATTTCTGCCTTCAAGAAGATCACAATCCAGCAGGGGAGACAAACATGCAAACACCATATTTTGTCATACAACTGCGGTCTTTCTCCACTGTTGCAATCCTTCCATGATGCACTCTTGTTTTTTTTTGTAGGGCATATAACCTTCTAATATACTACATAATATTCTTTTTTTTTCCTACATAATATTCTTATGTGTCACAATTATTCCCACTGGACTGCAGCTTCTTAAAGGCAGGGACCTTGGTTTTGCTCATTGAGATGTCCCAAGTGCCTGGAAGAGTACCTGGCACCAAGAAGATGCTCAGTTAAGTTTGGTGACTTAATGAATGGAAGTTCCATTTCCTGTGATAAGAGCTTTAAAGAGGTATGTACAAGGTGTGGATGATTCCTTCTTTTGGACAGAGTCAGGGAAGATTCCACAGACAATGTCGTGTTTTATGTTGACCTTGAAGGATTTATAGTGTTTCTTTAGGAGGAAAAGTAGGATGGTATTTCAGGCTCAGAGGCCAGCAGGAAGGCCTGCTAGAGCCAGGAGAGCCAGGAGAATGCAGGGTCATGGAAGGCAGAGAGAGGGATTAAGGGAGTGACTTTAAGAGAACCTGAAGCAGTTGAACACAGGGGAGGTTTAGGAGACGTTTCAGCATGCTGGTGGAAAATGGATCAAAGGATGAAGCAGTGTGTGGAGTGACAGTGTGGAGACCAGTGTGTAGTTACTCAAGAATATGGCTGAAGATGAACTGGTAACTTGAGAGAGGACGATCTTAATTTTTAGTGAAGTAAGATCACTTGAGCATGTTAGTAGGCTAAGAGGAAATAGCCAACAGAAGAGGCAACAGAATAGACATAGAAGAGGGCACAATTGATGTAGTGAAGTTCTAGAAGGAATAAGAAGGGATGAAATTGAGAGCACAGAGAGAGAGAGAGTTTGCTCTTTCGTTTTCAGAAACTAGAGGTAGGGAGGAGAGGATGGGCATTTTACCACTTTTGTGGAACCCAATAATGATTCATCATGGAAGATGGTATTGTTATAGAAACTGAGTCATTGGCAACTAAATTGAATTCTGTTACCTCACTTTATGTTGGATGACAGTTAAGAAATGTGGCAACTTTCTTCAGGGGAAGTGTTTAGAAAAAAATAATTTTTTTAATTGTTAGAAAACACAGAGCATTGTATTGGAATTTTCTGACTAACTCAGAATTTACAAAACACCATTTATGTTTCCAACCATTGTTAAAAATGATTGCATTTTTTTCTTTCATGAGAATGATAAATTGAAAGAACATTTTGTTTTTAAAATTTTGAACTGATTCAGAAGCTTCTCCAAATTTTAATTAGAATTATCCCGAGTTGCACAGGTAGATACAGATGGTGTAAGGAATTGGGATTAATGGGTATGGAATTTAGGATGTCCATGGAGAGAGCCTTTTTTTCCAAAAAAAACTCCCCAATTCCAGTTGTAGCAAAACTA